CCCGCGCCCGCGGCGCGCGGTGGCCATGGATGCCGTGCCAGCCCTCCCCGTGCCGTGCCAGCGCTCCCCGTGCCGTGCCGGCGCTCCCCGTGACATCCCCCCCCGGGGTCCGGGATGCAGGGACACGGGACAGGGGGTGCAGTGGGGTTGAGACTGAATCCCCCCCAAGCTGAGTCTTGGGCTGCGGTGGGATGCTCTGGGAAGGGAGCGGGAGGGAGTTTCGCCCTGGGGGTATTTTCCTCCATCTTCCAGTTTGCCCCATGTCCCCCGACACTGGGGACGGCTCTGGCCTGGCTGAAGCTTTGTATTTTTAAACTCTGGAAAAATACTCTGCAAAGAACAAATATACAAATAGTGGGGGTCAGCAGAGCACAGGTGGGAGGACACCACCCTCAAGCACTAAATTTAAGTAGGCGCTGAGAGCTGGTGTGGCTCCTCCATCCCCACCCAGTAGGACCATCATCCCCATCGGTGACCCCATGTCCCCAGCAGCGCCCAGGCGCTGTCAGTCCTACAGGGAGAGAGGGTTTGGGGGAGCCAGGCTGGATCCTGCTGACATCAACCCTGTGAACCGGACATCACCCATGTCACACCCCAGGATGGCCAATTTTACGTGCCACGTGTCGGGATGGGGGGTGCTGCTGCGACGGCACGGTGGTGGCTGTGTTCTGGGGACGTGGGAGTGCAGCTTTGTAGGGCATCGTGTCCCTGGGTGATGTTGTGGGGGTGCTCAACCTTGTGCTGGGATTTCCTCTGTGTCAACAGGATCCTTTAGGGAGCGGTGGGGTGAAGTTTCCAGGGTGGGAGCTGATGGTGGGGGGCTGAACTGGGGCAACACCCTGAGCATCCTGAGGATCCCTTCCCATCCTGAGTGTCCCTGAGCATCCTGAGCATCCTGAGCATCCTGAGCATCCCTGAGCATTCTGAGCATCCCTTCCCATCCTGAATCTCCCATCCCATCCTGAGCATCCCTTCCCATCCTGAGGATCCCTTCCCATCCTAAGCATCCTGAGCATCCTGAGCATCCCATCCCATCCTGAGCATCCTGAGCATCCCTTCCCATCCTGAATCTCCCATCCCATCCTGAGCATCCCTTCCCATCCTGAGGATCCCTTCCCATCCTAAGCATCCTGAGCATCCTGAGCCTCCCATCCCATCCTGAGCATCCTGAGCATCCCTTCCCATCCTGAATATCCCATCCTATCCTGAGCATCCTGAGCATCCCTTCCCATCCCGAGCATCCCTTCCCATCCTGAGCATCCCGAGCATCCTGAAGATCCCATCCCATCCTGAGCATCCTGAGCATCCCAAGCCCACTCGGCAGCGAGGGATACCCAGCCCCATGATGCTGCCGTGACACCTCTCTTGCCGAGAAGGAGCCCGTGGGCGCTGGGTGAACATGCAGCGTGTTGAGTATGCAGTTTTGGTTACCGAGAAATCCCTTTCCCGGTACGGGCTGCCATCGAGCAGGGCATCTTGCGGTGAGGTGCGGCGGTAAAAAAAAGGGGGGGGCGGGGGCACCGTGCCTGCGGTAGGCACTTCTCCGAAGCCAGACTGGGTTTTCGGGCACCGTATCTCTCTGCTGCATCATTTCCTTCTCTTTTCACGCTCCCCGTCTGCGCTTTCCCCGGGGAGGGACGTAGGGGGCTTCGCCGAACTCCTTTTTCCTGGAATTCCCCACTTCCTAGGAAAGCGGGAGGCCGACCCCAACGTCGCGGTCGGGCTGTGTGCCGATAAAACCCGCCACACCAGCGAGCTCGGGGACGTGCTGGGCGTCACAACCCACGTGCGGGAAAGCAGCCAGGATGGGCAACCCCTTCGCTTTCTCCCTGCTTGGACTTTGCGCGGGATGCGGTTATCTTCCAAGGATGGCAAAAAAAAAATAAAAAAATAAAACTCCTTTGGGATAAAGCACCGGCGCCACCGCGGCGGCTCGCGGCACCCCCGGACCCGTC